CCCCCCCCCCCCACCCTGTTCTAGCCTGCAAAGGCTTCCAGGCCCCTCTCTCTGCTTCCAGGCTTTTCTCTCTTCCCTAACTCCTTCTTTCGCCCTTGGCTTTCAGCTCCCAGGCTCTGCCCTAACTTTGCTACCACCCTTCTTCCAGCTCTGCCAGCTGCCCCTCTGTCAAACATCAGCCCCTTCCCAATAGGGACTCTGGTCTCCTGGGGGCAGGCCGCAGCACCCGGCCAGCTGTGTGCGTTACTAGAAGGCCGCTTGGCCGGGCCCGCGTTACACAGCTGCGTCTTCTGGGAACACCTGAGGTGCCAAAAATGCAAAGAAGCCGCGTTCAGGAAACACGGAACTTTCCCAAATCCGTTCAGTGCTGTGAGTACCACTTCCTCAGACGGGCTCCCCTCCCTCTCTTCCTCCTCCTCCTCCTCCTCGGGATGCCTTATTGAATAGGGAGACCTTTGTCTACATCTAGAGAAACCCCTGGCTGGCAGCTAATTTTAACGAGATTTAACACTACGATCCTGGCTGTAATTGGTAGATTGAGGTGTGGGGGTGTGTGGAGAGGGAATGGCATAAATATTCAAGGATAAGAGCGATGACAGCTTAAATCCTTCAACGCCCCTTACTGGCGAATGGCAGAAGCAGGGCTGTTCTGATCTATGGGGCTGGCGTAGGCAGCGTTCCCCATAGGTCTGTGTTGGTGAGTACAGACATGAAGCTGTTTACGATGGTGCTTTCCTGTCAGTATCTTGCTTCCTGTGCCAATGAAAACGGAAAGAGAGCTGTCATAATTAGCAGGGCTGTTTGTGATCTCTCTCTTTCTCTCTCTGTAACCAGGGAGCCCTGATTCCAGCTCCTGAGAAGTCGGAGGAAGTGACGTGAATGTTATTTATGTATCCGATCAATTTCAGTTCCAGGGAAATGTTGCTTCGTCCTCCTAACTCCTGCCCCGACAGAGTGGTCACAAAGTAGCAACAAATTTGCAAGTCCTGAGCAGCCCGTTGCAGAAGGCTCTCCACGGAGTGCCTTTAAATCTGTGTCCTGTTGACAGGAGTGTGGTTTCCTTCGGAACGGTGTCTGAATGCAGTGTGTATGTACCTATGTTTCCCTGAGATAAATACAGTATAGAGCAGGAAAGATCCATTGATCTCCACATTGGTGCATGGTTTACCGGTTGCCATTTATGCACAACACTTTTGCACATTCAGGCATAAACCTTCCTTTAGATCCGATTTATTTCAAGCTTCCTGTTACGCCGTAATTTATTCGAGTAGAGGCGTTTTGACATACAACAAAACAAGGAAACCAGATAAGGGGGAAACACGTCCCTGCAATTACCTAAAAGCGCCAATCCCTATCCTTATAAAGACGATCCAGATTTAAGGGAGCCTATTAAAATGAAACCCAAATATCGAACACACAACCTTCTCCTCCCTGTGCAGCCCCTCCCTCCTGCCCCCAATACACCCGCTTGTTTATCCCAGAATATCTCATCCCCGGGGAGGAACAGAAGTTGGATCCATGGAACTCTCCACCCCCTTCCCCTCCCCAGTCTGTTGACACAATGTGTTTGTTGTAGATGTGGCCCCAGATGTAGACTGCCCGAGATTCACACAAACACGCGTGTGTGTCACCATCTGGGAACTGATTGGGTTTAGGGGAAGGGGAAGGACCGGTCGCCTGCCAAGGCAAGGTGTTGTGCGGGAACTGAGCGAGGTAGAGAAGCTGTTTCCAGAGGCGCCTGCTGTCAGCCTCTGGCATTCACGGTTCATTTCTCATTTACTTCGGTCTAGTCCCTTCCCCCTTCCTGTCCTGGGCTGTTGCTCTTCCCCACCCATAACAGGAGCACGGGAAGGCCGGCTGGACGCATATCCCGGGCATTCTGGTGGTGGCTGAAGGGGGGGGGGGGGAAATCAAGCCAGTGGAATATACAGTAAAATAAGCATCCTATAAAGGCTCGGGACGCATGCGCATGGCTGGCGAGCCGCCGTCCCTGGGTGAGGAGCCCACTGCTAACGGATGTGATCAAGGCAAAGATTTCCATCTGGCTCCCGGGACTGATGGTGAAATTGTAAGTACTCTCCAGCCCTACAGTGCTGATCCTGGACGGCCCAGCGGCTCGGCACGTGGGGAAGCGCCCGGGGCTTTGCCTTTGCCTGGCTGGGTTTGTAAAGTGTATTTTGGGGCATGAGAATAACAATCGGCTGTTTCCTGGTCTGGGGGACCGAGAGGCGCTTCTGGATGGCACTCGCTGTCCCTAAACCCGGGGGAGGGAGAGTGTTTCTTTGGATTACTCCCCCCCCCATTGTAGTTTGGGGGGTTTCCACGCGTTTCTTCCATTGTGTGCCCTGGGAAGCCTCCTTCGGTTAAAGAGCAGGATCCCTCGCTGCGGCAGATCGTTGCATTGTCCCTGGCAGGCAGGGGGGATCCGGGGGTGTTTACACGCAGAGCACAGGTGCGGCGCTGGCTCAGGTGTGATCTCACGCGGCGACCAGGGCCGGGGGAAGGGGGTTGGCGGCCGGCATGGAAGCAAGGGCTGCCCTGGTTCCAGGGGCTAGACCTAGCGGGCAAGGGGAGCTCGCTTCAGCCTCTGCAGGTGGCGGTGGGTGGCTGCACTGGCCGGGGTGTGAGGGCCAGGGGCCGTGTCCGCCCCCCGCCGGGCTGGCCTGGGGCGCAGAGCCAGTAGCGCCGTGCCCAGGGCGGCGGGCTGCAAATTCGCTGCGGGGAGGCGGGCGGGGGTCACCCGGCCGCTTTCCACAGGCGAGGGGCGCAAGGCGCCTCCTTTGGGCAGCCCTCCCTCGGCGGCGGGGGAGGGAGCCGCTGGGGAGCAGGAGCCCGCTGCACCCCGGAGCCCGCTTGCTGGGAGAGCAGCGGCACCTAGGAAGGCTCCCGCCTAGTGCAGGCGCTGCCCGTCCAGGGGCCGCCTCGGCTGCTCCCAGCGCCGGGAGTGCAGGGAAACTCCCCCCTGGCGCAGCCCGGGAGAGGGGATGGTCCCTCCGGTTGCGGGAGGCGGGGGTGCCCCAGGCGGGACCCAGAGCGCGGCGAAGGGGACTCCGAGAGCGCAGCCGCGGTGCCCATAAGAGGCGCCGGAGCGAGCCCCGCCGGGTGCCTTGGGCCGGGGCCCCACCCGCCCGCAGGGAGGGGCTGCGCCCCCGGCGCGCTCTAGGAGGGAGGCGAGCCCCGCGGCGGGAGCGGTGCGCTGCGCGCTCTGTCTGGCGCTTTGCTCGCCCACCGTTCCGGCGCGGAGCTGGAAGCCGCCGAGCCGGGGCAGCCCCGGGCCGCCTAACGCAGCCTTTGCCTGCCGACGAGCTCCTCTTGGTGCCGAGCGCCAGGCGGCGCCGTTTGGCTCTGCAAAGGAGCCAGGGCAGGAGGCTCCCGGACGATCCACTAAACCCCGTGTCTGTAGCTGAGGTAAGGGGGGCGGGGGTCACCCCCCACGGTGCTGTTTTTCCTTGAGTTTTCTAGGAATGAGGGAACGGGTTGAATTACACCTAGAGAGTCCTACAAAGCCCAGAGCGTCCTTAGCCTCCTCTCTCCAGCAACAGTCCCATGGAGTTCAGTGAAAGTCACTAGGATCTCTGCCCCGGAAGGACAGCAGGACTAGCCCATTACCTACGTGCCCACCCACTGCCCGAGCCCCAGACTAAAGCCGTTCTTACTAGGGATGTCACAAAACAATCTAGTAATAAAGTAAACATTTGTTCCAGGGCGAACAAGTGTTTCCATGTTTCCACCACCACAGACCCTTTAAATGAGGTATACATTCTGTGGGCAAGAAAAAAGACCTTTTCCTGAGATCGGTCATTTCTATGGCATTAAACAGAGGGAACTGGTAATGAAAATTAGACAACTGCAGAAGTTAAATATGATTATCTTTGCACATGCCAGTAGAAATTACAGTAATTTAATATAGAGGTAATTTCATCTATACAATCACTCCATTATTTCATTTTTGTTGTTGCAAAAAATGCATGACAAAAGTGTATGCTAGATGGTCATTTCTACAACTCAAAGACATTTAGGCTACTTGCATATCACTCACTTTTCTGTACCCATTGTATCCACAACACACTACCACTGGCTTTAGGAATCAATAGGGCTAAATGCTGCTAGTGTCAATACACTACATCATTACTATACAGTATGATGGAAGCCAGTACACAGTACAATGCACCACCAATATGTTATGATGGGAGTCAATTTAAAATTAAGAATGAGGGTGTGTTTCTAAACTCAGAATGAAATCCCAACTGAAAAGTATGTTCAAGCCTCCTGGATGGTTTGATGAAAACCATATAGCTATACTACCCTCAAATATTATAACATACTACAGAAATAAGATATGGACAATCTTATTTATCCTTCATTCTACTTACCCATATCAATATCTATGTGCATATTACTACCTGCATTTAAATCATTTGCATGGAAGCACTACTTTTTCCTAAGTGTGTGGTTTCACTTCAGAAATGTTATTTCACACACACATACTCTTGAAGCAAATGGTCTAAATTTTCAGAAATAACTAGTGATTTTGAGTGCCTCTGTTTTTGGCTGCCCAACTTCAAACACATTAAATGGAGTCTAATTTTCAGAGCATGGAATGCTCAGCACATCTGAAAATCAAGCCTCTTTAAGATAGCTCAAGATGGACAGCCAAAAATTGAAACAGCTGAAAAATCACTAGATGCTTCTGAAAATTCATGCCAATCTTTCAGGCACTAAGGAAATTTTATCCTCTGGAAGCAGTGCTTCTGAAAATTATGGCTGTAATATGGTAGTACTAGTGGATAAGCAAAGTCACAGTTATCAAAATACTCTATCCAAGGATTGGTGGACCCTAAATTTCTATTTAGGGGCTGGATTTTGAACTCTTTGAAGAGTTACCAGCAATTTATTTGTATGAAGTCCACAAGCTATCACTTGATTTATTTTCTTATATTATACAAACAGCAATTCTGATCTCACATCAGGTTTACACTGGTAACTTAGTGGACTTCAGTGATGTTACTCCTGTGTTTCACCGGTGCAAGCGAGCTTAGACTCAGGCTTTCTGTGTCCAATGTAGCTATATATATGCAGGGATTTTACAGTATGGTCAGATTCCAGTATGGTACAATCTGAAGTGGATTGCAATGATCGGATCCAATAGGGAATGCTGTGTGAATCAGTATTTAATGCACTACAAGATGAATCACCGTGATGCAAACCAACTTTCAGACCAGTACAGTGTCAGTCAGTGCCTAACACAGTTCAATGAGTCAGATCCAAGCACCTAGTATAATATATGACTCACTGACTAAAACAGCACCATGTGATTCCAATACCCAGTATGAGCTGTCAAAGCTTCTGTGTGAAATGAGTCAGTTCATAGTACAGTAGAATGGGATTTTTTGGAGGCCATTCATAATTAAGCATGATGTGACTGAGCGCTCAGTAGGATATGGTATGATGGAAGTCAGCAGAGTATATCAGGTTGAATAGTAATCTACTGTGTGCAAGAGTTCCATCGTTTGTATAGTAAAGTGGCTTGTAAAATATCAAGCTGAATGAACATTTTTTAGCCAACTGTATTAAAAAAAATTGAGGCAAATGTTTTCATTGGATACGAAAGCCAGAAGTAGTAGAATTGGCAAATTTCTATATTCTCTGTATTTGGGGTTATTGGTTCCTTGATGTTTTACATGTCACTTGGTAGATCCTCAGCTACTGTAAATTGTCAGAGCTCCATTAAAGTCAACTCCAGTTGTCACATGAGATAAGTCAATGGAGCTATGACAATTTATACCAGCTGAGGATCTGCCCTATGGTGTATAATAGGGATCTGACTATGACTGACACTGCTCTGGTATTGTGAAGGGGCATTGAAGTGGGAGTAAATTATGAAATTACTCTAAAGCCCCTTTGCACTGCCAGAACAGTCTAAAGTAACCTTAATGTTAAATGAGAATCAGGCCATAGGTATTTATCACCTACCCTATCCATGGGTATATCTGTGTATGTTATTTTTTCTATATGCACAATATATTTAAGATTCTATCTCCAAAGGCTATCATAATTTCTATTCATTCTAGCTGAACTGGCACATAGATGCCAAGGTTATGTGTGTTAGAATTACATACTTTCACTGAGGTCTCATGCAATGTGTGGGGCATCCTCTCAAAAAAGAAACACTGAGACATGGAGAAAAACCTGGTCTACATAGGATAACATGTTTCTTAGAAAGAATGGCAGGTTTTATGTAGAGGACAGTTTCAGCGAGAGGATTGTTATGAGGCTATCCGGCTGATCGTGCAAGGTGCTGAGTAATGAAAGCATATCACACTCAGACCCTTGCAAGATCAGACCCTAAACTGTAAGTGAAACGAGCTGTGTACAGTTCCCTGTTACTGGGTGGGTGGGTTACAGTTCTAAGTGTTCTCTTTGAAATGTAAAGCAATGCTTTAATCTGTACACATGAACAGAGCTCTTCATAGGGGCTGCTACTCTGAGAATATAAGCCACAGATGAAGGCAACCAACCTAGTTTCTCTCCGTCTATAAATCATTTTATATAATACTTCTGAGTTTCCCCTGAATCCCACATAGGGGGAGACTACTTTCTTTTGTAATCACACTCACTGATCTTCTATTGGTCACTGATCCAATTCTATTCCAACACCCTCTTCGATGCAGCATCCTAGGTGGCTGCTAAGATCACCTATACAGAAAGCTGATCTTCTTTTCTTCCATTCCCACCACCTCAAGGCACCTAATTTTCACTGCCGTGCGCCATAATTCGTTGTACAAGAACAGAAGTCCCAAGTTTTTCCCAACTCTAGTTCATCAAAGTGACTCAAGGTGTGTGTGTTTATTAACATAAATGATAACTACTCTCCATTTAAAACATTGCCCTTTTTGATGCAGAAAGCTTATTTGTCACATTAATCAATGGAGAGGAAGTGGAGTCAATGTCAAGCTTTCTAAGGGCCCAGTCCTGCTCCCATTCTGATCAATTACAATCTTACACTGACTTCAGTGAGAATATGTTCCAGCCTTAAACACTACCACATTGCAAGTATATAAAACAAGG